GTGTGCCTTGCAGGTGTTTCAGTTAATTAGACGATTCAAGTGATTCGTTGAACACCCTACTAGTATACTTTTTCATGATATTCTAATATTTAGAGATAGGATATTTGAGTTTTCTTAAGCTGTATGCCATAATCAGCAATATTAAAATAATAAAAGGCTTGCAATATTTCAGTTGATTTGTAATGAATCCAGAATGTATGACATTTTAGTTTTTTTAATTGCATTACAGAAAATAAAGAACTTTATCACAATATTCTAATTTTCTGAGACAGTCCTGTATTGCGCTGTCGGGCGTTTACCAATCACAAAGTGTCATTTCTTGACTGGCAGCAAAAACAACCAATCACAGCAGTGCTTCTCTGGCTGGCTCTGTCCAATCACAAACAAGAAGTGTTCTCCCTAAAGGAATACCCTTTCCGTCCAATGTGAAATGCTGTGGTGTTTCCTGAAATGCTGTTGTGTTTCCTGAAATGCTGTTGTGTTTTCTGAAATGCTGCGGCGTTTTCTGAAATGCTGTGGCGTTTTCTGAAATGCTGCGGCGTTTTCTGAAATGCTGTGGTGTCTTGCACTTCAGGGCCACCGTACTTTTCTGAAGAAAAAATTACATTTTATTTTGAGTTTGGAATAATTGTTCTCTTGGATACAGCACAACCAAAACCATCATGATTTTTTTTCTTGCCAATTATTCTCCCCTTCATTTATCCAATTACACATGAGATGATAAGCTTAAGTTATAATTTCTTACCAAAAACGGGGATTATGTCATATTGCAGAAAATAATTCTACAAAAAATGGTATAACAAAAACAGGTTGAAAACCATGTAAATTGTGTCTGAATTCAGGTTACAATCCCAAAGTCATTGTCAGTGCTGGAAGCAGGGCAGTTTAGTTTAGTGGAGCGTTCCGTCAGTCATGTTGTGACATCACTTACTGCTGAGGACATCGCTGGAGAAGCCATGAGGGTTGCATTCTGTACAATGGAAGCCATGCATGAACTCAGCCACCGCTCCAACTGAATATCACCAAACTTGTTTCCATCCCACAGTGCGATTACCACTTTGTGGTTTACAGGAAATGTCCTGCTGGTAAACTGTGTATCTAAGACTCAATAAGTTGATAAGGATCACCCTAAGGTCCCCAACACTGAAGGACAAACCTTCCAAAGACGCAGCACCTGAATCTGGAAACAATGCATGCATGTGGACTTGTGTAGAAAGCACTGACATGCTCAACATGTAGTTAAAATACTTTTGATTGAACTCATATTTTATGACGCTAATCATGTCAACAATAGCTAAATCATAGACTTTAATTATAAATGGTGCATTTGGGTTTACCTCTGAAATCACTGAAAGGGGACATGCTAAATGTGTTGACCAAAGATATTGTTTGGACAGCCCTGGGTTGTTTTTTTTTTTTAAATGAAAGAAGACATAAGTCTGATTGCAGGATTAATCGCTGAACTCTGATCAGTGTTCCAACACAGACAGAACCTCAGCGCTGCAGTTGTGTTGAACGTTGCTCAGAATCAGAGGACTGTGGCAACATGCATCAATCAGACATCCTTTTCATTTCAAAAACAAAAGTGTTTGAACATCCATCTTTGTTTGCTGGCCAAGTACAAAGATCTAAATATTTAGGTGTCTCAGCATTAACAATTTAAATTGTTGCTACATAAATGCAATTTTTTTAGATGAAATCAAGTATAAAATATACCTCCTTCATGTTACTTTATCAGGCTAACACCCGCAGCATGACACCTTACATCTGGTTTGAGTTTGGTTGTGAAGGAGGATTCAATCACATGTTCTATTACCAAATAAATAGGACATTACTAAGCGTTTATATAAGATATAGTAAACCTACTCTGTTAAGGCAAGTGGTGACCATTACATTATGGAGCATTTGCAAAAGAATGATTGCTGATATTTTTAAACATATTGCAAAAACAAAATAAAAGGCTATTGATGTGGATCTTCATATCAAAGCTGAACAGGTTTGTTCTTCCCTCAGCTGCAAATCTCATCCCAATTTATGAAAAGGGAAAAGAGAAAAAGTATCCTTCTTTTACATAAATCAGCATTTTTATCTTCAAAGTTCACACTTCTAAGAATGACTTGAGAGCTTATCATTGGACTTCAGAAACAGAATATGATCCATACTAACAGGTCAGGGTTTGGTGTCATCACATGTCACTCTTCCCTCTCACATAATAATCAGTGGATTTGAATTAGATTTGCTTGTTTACCAAAAACAATGAATAAGTGCACTTTTGAAAAGTCCCATTACCTAGAAACATACCTGCATTCAATGTAACTACTCTATGTACTTGGTAACAGGTTGGGTTGAACATGCTTCCAAACAGATTAGAATAAAGAGAATATCACTCACAAACTGTTGTCATGGGAATCTCACCAACGTTGCAGTTGAACAGAACAGGAGGATATCACACCGGTAGATGCATTAGTCATTCCAAGTGCTTTAAGTACAACATTTATTTTTATATTGAACAAAGCAAGGTACTATATTAGGCTACAATATGCCCTTTCAAACAAGGCAAGCCACTGGTGAGTAAACTGTATATAAAACGATATATTGTGGATTGAGTGAATCGTCTGCTCTGGACATCAGGGCTTATCCACAACTAAAACAAACAGAAATACATCTGAGATTTATTCGGGGCAGTCCTTGTTTTCCGTCAGGTGTTCTGCTGAGTATTTCAATATTAGTTTTAACTCTTAAAAAGGTTGTTCCATTATGATTTATCCAGCTAGGAAGCCCCTCCTTGGTAAGATGACTTGAGTATGGTCAGCGATGGTGGTAGATATTAAGCAGCTCTCTGTTTGAGGGGGGCTCTTAGGGTCCACTGACAGGACACCTAAAGGTCAATATGGCACATGATTAGAACAACTGTGTCCAACATTATTATGGTTAATGTTTAAATTTTTACAACAACAATTAAAGGAAATGTTCCTAATTAGTTCATGCTTGTCTTAAGACGATAGTCGGGTGCCCATTTTGAACAGCTTGCTACAGCTGTGCTAATTCCTCCTGTCATTACTGGACATTTAGATCCTTTCATTGATCAGGGATAAAGTCCAATATCATCATAATGCAAATATATTCGAAAGTTTCTCTGAAACTCATAATACTGTAGGCTTCAACCGTTTGCGTAACACAAATCTTCTGTCAGAAATTTAGATATTGTATAGAAAAGTATAGGATCCGGGGCGCTGTGCTGTGGGGGTTACCAAGCTTCTAAAGCAATCATTATGACCAAACCCTTCTCAGTAAGACTCAGGAACAAGCTGTTCTCTCTTCAGAGACAAGTTGAACAACTCACCTGTTTAGTTTCTCAAATCCTCAATGAGCTCATCATGTTGCTTCAGAACATCAACATCTGATCATTAACTGCATTTGGTGTTGTATGTTTTAATTCTACTTAATGTACTGCCATCTTTGATTCAGTTCATGCTAAAGTATTGGTCCTCTATTTTCTTTCTTATTTGTTATCATCCTGCTTTTGTTTTCAAAAGAGAAAAACGTGTTTCGATATTAAATGTAGGTATTATTTGACCTTTTCATTCCATGCCTTCAAAATACTGTAAGCATCAACTGATATTTCCATTTATCCTAAACAGTCACAACATACTACTTCATCAAAACAATATGCTCTTTGAATGACCTTTTAATCAAAGTTATATTTACAACAATAAATAATTGTGTGCTTTTGTGCCCCCTAGCAATTTAAGTAGCAAAATATAGTGTTCGATCTCAGGTGCCAAAGGTAGCTTCCTCCCTTAATCATTGTTAATGCAACAGCGTGGTGAGTATTGTAGGCTTTTAAATAAAAAAACATGAAACTCTTACAGTGAATAAAACATTTTCCTCACTCATACTCAATGTCATGTCAGAGAAATAAATACAGTAATTCAAAGAAGAAAGAACAATGTAAACAAACACAAAGTAAAGCTGTCTTCAGGGGATGCATAGATGCAAATCAGAGAAAAAACATCAAACTATATATGATTATTATTTGCTAGTTGCTGCAGTGTGGAGGGGGTGTGGGTGTCGCAGTGGGAACACAAGTCCTGACATGTGCACTGTGTGTGCCAGCTCCAACTTCCTGTCTGAATGTCCACACAGTGCTGATGTGGACAAATGACCATATTTATTCCTTACTTTTAGTTTAAATAAAACTCAATAAATATGTTTACGGTTCATATTTCAAGACAAAACAATTTGTGGAATACATTCAGGAACATTCAAGTTGAGTGAAAAATGAAGCAATAAACAAAAATGAGTGAAAAAACTAAAATAGAACATGTAACATATACACAATAATAATTTATGAAGACAATTCATCGCCATGAAGTTATCATATGTTACAACTTATTACTAAATCCTAACAGTCCAGACTCCCTTCCAGGCTGAGGAGTTATTATAGTTTCTCCTTTGAGGGGATCCAGATATAGGGTCCTGAATGTTCTTCTATGACCTGTTTGCAGTGGTTATAAATGTCCTCTAAGGTGTCTCCTTGTACCAGGGCTGCAAAGCAAAGGGAACTCTTTATGTACTGTGGAACTTGTGGAGAACAGGCACATCAAATAAAAACATTCCTGTCTCACTGACACCTTTTTTTAAGTTCAGAAATGCAATCATACCACTAATACAATACATGTCTGTCCAGGCTGAAATTCAAAATGATTGCAATAATCTAAGATAACTGATCACACAGTGTTGTTCCCTTTATAATTGTAGATGTTAATCTTAGCTGATAAGTGAGAGGATCCTGACAATAATCCTGATATTTCAGGCCTCTGACTGATGCAACTCTCACGTTTGAAGGAAAGCCTGTGAGTCAGCAGTTTTGTTGCCAGCTCGCATTGCCTCCTCATATACTGTGAGGGACAAGCTGAATATAGATGCTTCACTGAGTATATGTGCTTTTATTTACCTGTGAAAAATTCACCAAACTCCTGCTCCAGCTTCAAAGCTCTGTCAAACGTCTTCCTGGCCTGATCCTCTGTCAGTCTCTTGTTCATGTCCCTGTGCCAGGCAAAGGAAACAAACATCCCACACATGATTTGTCTTTTACATGTGCTGCTGTGGACGGGCGGCAGCAGACCATATTTCAGTCAACCTGAACTAATCTACTTTTCAGTATATGCTATATCTATATTGTCACTGCTTCATCTGGTTGTGAGACTGCTATACTGTCTATGTTTCTAACTGAGAGCTGAAGCCATGATCTGGGCTCTCACCAAAGCCCCCCACTCACTGACATTACTTCTCTTCTGACCCCCTGCTGACACACTGACCGTGGATAAGAACCTCATACAGCAACTGGAAAACATGCAGACTTTTCCCCTGATTTAGCAATTATAGGCAGTATTCACACTTTGAATGGATGCTTTATAACATTCTATATCTATCTGAAAGCAGATAGTGTATAAGAACATCTTTGTGTTAAAGTGTATTAATGCGCAGTATTTCAGCGCGTATAAATACATGAATTACATAAAGATTGTATTGTGTTATAAACCATTTTCTTACATGTGTATTTAAAAAAAATGATACTAAGGGGAATTAATAAAAAAAGTGTTAGCAAATTCCATTTAGTCTTTGAGTTTTATGAAAAAGATTGTACAGTACTAGTGGAAGGTTGTAGTAACTTTCATGAAAAAAATAATAATAAAAGATGAATACTCACATTAATGTATCAATAGACTTAGGTTTTATGAAGATGGCGATGGGATAGAGTTGTGCTACTTGTAGTCGCTTGATGGCGTTTCCAGATACATCCAGAATGCAGTGTTTGCCCTAACAGAGTCATAAGAAATGTACCACTTAAAACCACTCAGATTATCACGTTTTACCCTCAAAGCTGCAAGGCTTTCAATAAATCTCACATGGTGTAAAACAGTGCCATAAAATGCATCTTGTAAAATAGATCCACATGTCACAGAGTAGCTAGGGTGACAACCAGGAAGTGTACAGTATACTGGCCTTACCCTGAAATAATTTGATATATTTACATGTTGCTTCATATGGCGCAGCTAATATTAACAGACACTGAGTCTCACCCTTTCAGCCACATATTTGACGGACTGGACGCTGGTCCCGTACAGATTATCGTTGTACTGCCCCGCCTCGATGAACTTGTGCTCCTGGATGTCTTTCTCCATCTGCTCTCTGGACATCACAAAGTGGTAGTCTCTGCCGTCCACCTCATAATCCCTCTTTGGCCGAGTGGTATCTGTGGATGAGGACAAAAGCTCTTCATCACCTAGGAACTATCATACCTTAACAAGATTAGTTGACACTTGCTAAATGTCTATAAAACACATTGCAATTGCAATGCAGTGTTCTTTAACCATCTCCACACTGACTGTAAGCAGAGCTGCCCTCTGTGTCCTGCTTATCAAAATAATACTCATATAAAGCAGTTTTATGACTAAGTCACTAATGTGTGTGTGTGTGTGTGTGTGTGTGTGTGTGTGTGTGTGTGTGTGTGTGTGTGTGTGTGTGTTTGGATTTACATGTTTTGCATTGATTCTTTGTACAATTAAACACTTTACAAACTAATTGTACAAACACCTGTTGACATCATATTAAGCCGGATGTTTGCATTGCACTATGGCTCTATAGTCTATCTTTATCTAAAGCACATTGTGTTGCAATGTGTTACAAAACATTTATATAAATACATCTTTGAAGTGACTTTAGTTTGGACACCTTGTTTTATCACCACATTCAGAGGCTGGAGACGGCTGATACTGCACACTGTAACATCATTCTTTACAATTCAATGAATCTGCACTATTAGCTATTGTTTCAAACTTGCTCAAGGAAAAGTGTCATTCTGAAATCTCTTAAGAGCACAGGCCAGATCCACCTTTATCAAAATCATCTTAATATTGAGGCATGACATTGCAAATCTTTAACGTGGTGCAATCAACGCTCTGTGCTGTAACTAATGCTGTCCACACTGACCTGTCAGTTGTTAATGGCTGAAATAAGTGTGGTTCACATGTACCTTTAAACATATCAACTCACATGTTTAAGGGTTTTTTATGAAATGTATACAAGGGAGAAAATGAGGGACTCCCTTGAAAAAGAGATCTATGATCTCAAGGGACCAATCTGGTTGAATAAAGGTTTGAAATGAAATGAAATGAGGGACAATAAATGCCACAATCTATGTTTTGACTTTGTTACTAAGTTCATGTATGTTCTATAACAATTTGAATGTTCTTAGAGTCTGGAAGAGAGGCGATTCTTTATTGTACATTGTTAACATACAATTGTCAAGAAAGCTTGACACCGGATATCTTTAAAATCAAGAAGAAAGTTGATTCCTGATTCTTCTACAAAAAAGGAAGTATTAAATGATTTGATTGAAAACAAATATGCAGTATACCACAAGTTCCCTAATACTAAGAATTGAAATGATATTCTGCACAAACAGTAATCCCACAGGAAACAAAGGGGAACCCTTTCCACAGGACTCACTTTCTAAACAAAGGATTGACAGGGCTCAGGATCCACTCACCTTGGTGCCCGGAAGCGTTAGCAGCTTTATATGGTTTGAAAGGTATATTCAAGTAAAAGAGATGAGGCAATTAAAACATGCAAAAGAAAAAGTTAAAACATGCAGAGAGGAGTTATGTTAGGATGAGACAAAACAGGTGTGAACACATTCTGAAAGCATCCTGCTGCTGTTCCCTGATGAAACTTATTGACAGTTTGTTTTTAATAATGTATTGTGAATGTTTTGCACTGAAACAGCATCACAGAGTCAGGAGAGCAGGGGAACTCACACACATCATGCCATGCTACTACTAGTATGTGTTAGCATGAATACAGCCTGTTACTTCACATACTTTTAGATGAACTGTTATCCATGGACAATTGTTCTATTTAATCCTTACTGACCGCCAGAGGCGGTGCTTTAGCACTGGATATCTTCCGTCTCGCACATGCGTAGGTCGAATATTTATATCAACAAAGTCACGTGTGACCTCGTATGACCCCGGAAGGCATAAGTTCCTGCGTTGTCAACGAGTTCAGTCCTTTTTCATCTTCTCGCTGCGCAGGTTAGGCTACTACTTTTTGAGTAGAAGCCAAGCTAGCTTATTGAAAATTAAGATTCTAGCTCATCGCTGCCTGTAGCCTTGTGATTGTCTCGATCGGAGCTGCGGGCTAGGAAAACGCTCGCCCTCCAAAGGCTGCGACGAGCTAGCTGTCCGCCCTCCCAAGGGAGGGGACCGCGGTGTTCACCGCTCGGACCCTAGGAGCTCCGGAGCGGTAAAGAGCGGACGCTCCTGCACGTCAGCCGATGAGATCGCTATCATTTGTCGCTGATTGTGCTATCTATTCTTAAGCTAATGAGATAACTGTGTACAAGTTAGCCAAGGGCTCTCGCTAATTTGTTACTGCGCTAGGGAAGGGAGCGTCTCCGGCCCCCTCTCACTACATACATTTGGCTCCTTGCCTGTTCTATCGTCCAGTTAGCTGAGTGTTTTCGTTCAAGCTAACTG